ACCCCGCACAACATGATCTACTCGACCACCATTATGGTTACCGCCAAAAAAAAGATAACAGGTAAAAAAAGATAACAGGTAAAAAAACAAACGGTAACCTGGTTGCCGAGTTCACGAAGTGAATTGACTTGTTTTACAACGTCGTTGCCAAGCGACGAAAACCCAACCCCGATGGCAAACACCGGGGGGGGCGGGGGGGGCATTTCTGGCTTGGTTTCTACGGATGATTCGTTGTTGGCGATTGGGGCGCGGCCCGTTCCCGCCGCTGTTCCTTGAAGCAAATCTGTCAGTACACGTGGGCCGCCTTTTTGTCATGACATGGGGGGACGTCGTTGCTTGCTGAAGGAGGTGGGTAATTCCAATTACTGTGTGTTCCCCCGAATGATTTCCTTGGGTGTTTTCATGGGTGTTTGTTCCCACGGCCCTTTCTATTTACACCCAAACGTTGTGCCTGTCGGATTGTGTCCACGGTGTCGTTCTGAACTGTCCGCCAACAACCTGCGGACGGACTTCACGAACCGGCCGCTGTGTGTCGTTCGTTCGTACGTACGTACGCACACGCCACCAGGTTCTTCGTGCGGACGAATGCGGCTCGACTGCCCTATCCGGTGAACGACCTCGAAAAGCTGCAAGACCTCGACCGCATGCGCTACTCGGACCTAAGGTAAGTAGGTGCTGACGTCGACGTCGACGTCGACGTCATCATCGTGTGTTTGTCCTGCTGCATGGTATCTTACCAGATGGTACGAGTAGTGCTGCGGTGTGAGGTTCGGCGTCGTGAGTGCCATCGAGTGCTGACCCCCCCGCGTTCGTTGTCTGTTGCGTGTGTTTGAGTTGAAGCTCTTCGCCGTAGGCCTACTGTCTTGCCGTGTCTCCAGTTTTCAATTCCTCTTTCCCCTCACCCCACGTTCTCTGTCTGTCTGTCTGTCTGTCTGTCTGTCGGTATGTCTCTCTCTCTCTCTCTCCCTCTCTCCCTCTGTCCCTCTCCTCGTGACTACAATACAGCGATGCTTACCGAGGGGATGTGAAGGCAGCGGTGGACGTCATTGTGCCGGAGTGTGCTCCGAAGGAGCTCGGCGGGAAGACAATGGACGGCACCGCTCTGGCAACGTTTCTGCGCAAACTGACGCGGGTACGTGCTTCCCATGACACTCGTGTCTGACACAACCGACCGACAGCAGCATTTACTACCCCAATCTTGCTGTCATGGATGGCAGGCAGGTGTACTGGAAGCGTGGAATCCATGCGCGGACGCAGTTCAAAGTGTAGGGAGAGCCGACCCTTAGAGCCGATCAGAGAACATGGGAAGTCGAGACGTTTTGCCGACCCATATTTTGCTTTCTTTGCTTTCTCAAACTGATGTGGGTCAGGCAAATGCTGGCCTGTTGTGCAAATGGAAGCTATCGGGAGCCGTTCAATGTAATGAATGCTCACCCCGGTACTGTTTTGGAGGCTACTCCTCCTCCTGCTGTTGCTGTTGCTGCTGCTGCTGCTGTTGCTGCCGCTGCTTCTGCTGCGCCTCTGCTGACTGTTTCTGGTGCTGGTGGTGCCGCTGCTGAAAACTGTGTTTGTTGCTACTGCTGCTACCGCCGCAGGTGATGAACGTCCCCGTGGTTGCTGGCAACGATCGCTTCTCGACGTTGTTGGACGTGCTAGAAGCGGGAGAGCTGCGAGCCGCCGAAGCCGCGTACAGGGCTGAATGGGAGCGTGGCGAAAACAACTACGAAGGCTTGCCAACCGGAGCGGTGCGTGCCACACGGCAGACAAGACGTTGGGGGGAGACGTTAGCTGTTTTAGAATGCCATCCGCTCTCATGTGTAGTCTCGGTGCGGTGCATGGCTCGTCGTATTCCATGTGTCTGTTTTTTCGTACTAGCATCACGATGTTATGTCCTGCTGACACTGCCAGCGTCGTGCATAGCTAGGTGCTGATGTTGGTGGTGGTTGTCGCTGTTTGCGTCCTTAGTACGTCCTTAGTATCTAGATGTCACGAATGGTGACTGCTTGATCTTGACGCGGGTATCGGCAGCGGTGACGGAGATAAACGATGATCGGTTGCATCGTCCGACAGATGACACCCAGACACGCTGCTGATGATCGGATCGGATCCATGCGACGAGTTCCTGTTGTTTTACGGCGTATTGGTTTGATTCTGTGACGCTTGAGCTGCCGTATCAATCTCTTGCAGTTCGACTCGACGCGATTGGATTTCATCTCACCCACCCCTGATTTTCATGTCACCAGGAAAAAATTGTGGCGTTTTGAGTGAACCGACTAAAAAATTGAAAATTGCATACCGCATAGTCCACAACCCCCTGTTGTGCAATTACACTTGACCCCCCCCCCCCCCCCCCCCCCCCCCCCCCCCCCCCCCCCCCCCCCCCCCCCCCCC